TGGCACTTGAAAACTCTCTTTGGGAGGAGGAGCCAAGTGAGAACTTCACCTGACGGACGGGTTGATGGGCCTGAACCTCTCTTCCCCTTCCAAGAAGGGACGTCTTTTTGGTAAGAGTCGCACCTCTGACTTTGTCAGATGTATCCCTGGGAACACATTGTTAACTGAAGTGCTGAACTATTACTTTGAGCTCAACTTTTGTAGACAGTGCATTTATCAACAGCAATTCCGAATCTGTGATACCTGTCGCTTAATAAACTACCTATTGCTTCAACTTTGCGAAACTGTTTCAGTGAAAGTCCCTGGAGGGGCTCTGACAGGCAAGTTGAATCTGAGAAGTGGCTACACACTTAGCCCTTTAGACATACACCGTTGACCAAGTCTGGGACTAGGGGTAGATCCAGCCGCACCTAGACTTTCCTCTGAGAGACAGTTTAGAAAGCAAGGGGGTCTGCTCTGAACCTTGTGACTAAATGGGAGGGCTCTCCTTTTGCTGCTTACCAGACTCCCCTTACCCTCTTTTAACGCAACACTCACTGAGCAGTCTGTGGATTTCTCAGGTTCCTTAGCTTGCCGTCTGCTGGTTTAGCTGGGCTTCTTTAGGATGTGCTTGTTACTCGTCCTTGGGTGCATTCTTGCCTGAGGCCTCTGGTAGCCAGTCCTGTCTTTTCTGCTTAACCTTGGTGAAATTCCCTATCACTCTCATGCATCACGTACCCACCCTTTACATCACAACCCCCCCCATACATCACGTACCCCTCCAGTACCTCATGTACCCCCCTGTACATCACAAACCCTCTCTGTACATCATGTACCCACCCTGTACCTCATGTAACCCCCCCAGTACATCACGAATCCCCCTGTACATCAAGTATCCCCTTCTTGTACATCACTTACCCGCCCTGTACATCAGGTACCCCCCCAGTACATCACGTACCTGCGCTGTACATCACATATCCCTCCTGTACGACAAGTTAACCCTGAGCCAGCAGTGTGCCCTTGTGCCAAGAAGGCCAGTGGAATCCCGGGATGCAACAAGAGGAGTGTGGCCAGCAGGTCGAGGGAGGTTCTCCTCCCCCTCCCATGCTCACTGACTCATTTCAAGAATTTTCGTGAAGCTATGAGAAGAATGACTGCACATGCACAACAGTACCCCTTCCCTGAGGAGGGATGACAGGTACCCGAAGGGTATAAAAGGGGAGTGGACAAACCCCTTGGCACACAGCCAACACTGGAGGACCCCGACCACCAGCAGAGACCATCGCTGAATCCAAGGGTGGTGATATCATTTCTCTTATTTCTTCTCTTACTTTCTTTCCTGCCTCTGACTTCATAGGCTCATAAGGGTAATGTGGTGGATGACAAGTTGACCATGAGCCAGCAGTGGGCCCTCGTTGCCAAGAAGGCCAGTCCTGGGGTGCATCAAGAGGACTGTGGCCAATAGGTCGAGGGAGGTTCTCCTTCCCCTCTACACTGCCCTAGTGAGGCCCCATCTAGAGTACTCTGTGCA